AAACCTTTTCTGATGTGGAAGATCAGTCAAAACTGCAACCACAAAGCATACTCGGAATTCCAAGAGACTTTACAACCAATGCTCTACCAAGACCGATCCCTGACCGACTTGGCTCTGATACCAATTGTTGAATAAGAAGAGTATCCAAGATAACTCTAATGATCCCAAGAAGAAGAAAATAGAACACACTCTTAAAGAAAGCTCACAAAACAAACTAGTTAGCAAAGCTTTTCTTATTTAGCTCTAGGCTTTGTATTTCCTTGGATGATTTACAATGCTTGAGAACTTGGGTATTTATAGCAAACCAAATGAATAAACTAAGATTATTTATTACCACACAAAACACATTAATTTCACCTAATTTATTTTTATTCAACCATGCCTAACATTGCCTAATTTTCCATACCTAACTTTGACATTGATTTTCAACATCTTTGACATTGATTTTCAACATCAACCACTGGCTTACAGCCGCTCTTAGCAGCTCCCACCAGAGGGGTCCTGAAATCCATGTTATTACCCTCTTCCACAAGACATTCCATAGTACCAAACCTAGAGTACAGGCAAGCAAAATTAAATGCCCGGTCAACATCGACATTCAGGTTGTTAGTTCGGGCAGCCTTCAATATGATGCGCACAATCTCTGTATTCCCAAAACTAGACGCTTGAACCAAAGAATAATTGAAAATGCCACTCTCCACACCCCCTTTCACCAGCATACCAAACAAACCTGGTATGGCAGTAGTTTCCCAATTCCCAGATGAGCAACCCAGATCGAAAGAACTAGAGGATAAATATAGGGGAAGGCAAGCAGCATAGAAGGCCATTGAGAAGTCTTTTGATGTAAGCTGGTTACCAGCAAGATCTAGAAAGGTTTTCAATGCCGATAACTGAAGTTGGATCTCATCAGCCTGTAAGTTGTAATTAGCTCTATCCTTATTACCCTGATGACCACTAAAATTGAAGCCTGGCCCTATCCATTCAATAAACTCATGAATTTCCTTAGCAATAGGTTCTCCCTCTAATAACACATGACTATCGCATTCCAGGACAAAATCATGTAACCTTTGAGCCATTTCAGTGACTGCACATGCAATAGTACTTGTCGTTCGGCCATGAAAAGCTTGGACACACGATGCCATAAATGAAGTCCTCACAATAGCTGAGCCAAAGTCATGTGCACCATTGGCGACGATCTTCTCAATCAGACCCATGATTGCATTGCTTTCTTCCTGGGTGCTTAAGAACCAACTGGGTCCAAGGTGATGCACAAACCATCATTCAGAGCTTGTGGACCAGCTAACAGAATCAAGCTCTCTGATAGCTTGTGGACCAGTTAACAGAATCACTAACATTACATGTATAAAAAAAAAAAAAAAAAAAAGTAATCACGTGGCATGTTTATTGCGACGTGATTAGAACTAAATCTATGTAAAATTACAGTCCAAAATTTCATTAAAGTTGTTACAAGATAATTTGGTATCAAAATATGAGATATATTAACTTATACAAGCTGTTTACTAATTTAACACAATCAAAATCGAAATTGAAAACCGATTTGATTAGTAAATGCCCATGAGAATACTACCCTGGACGAAGAGTCCAATTCCTTTAAAATAAGGGAATCGGATCCTCTTCCGATCCCAATAATCTGACCCCCAAGGATCATTTGATCCGAGCCGTTGAAATTTGATCCAACAGCTACAATTATTATAACTTTTAGAGGGACCTCCTGTTTGTAGTCGTTGTATCAAATTTCAACGCCCTAGATCATTTGATCCTAAGGTTTAGATTATTGGGATCCAGTGGGAATCCAGTTCCTAAAATAAGGAGTTGAATTCTCTAGCTTGTAGAGGCTCTATGTTAAAGATGTGTTTGACTGTACTTGGGCAGCCCATTTAATAAACGAATTATATTTTGTTTGGCCCACTTACTACAACATTAAGTCTAGCCTCACCTGCGGCCCCGCTCCATTAAACTTGGACCATGTCGGGTCGAGTCACTAAACGGGCCAACTTTGACAAAACAAACTTTAGTTATTTACAAAAAAAACCTTATTTTGAATATGTTTTTAAGTTAAATATCACTAATATTAAGTCTTACTAACCTTAAAATGTATGTTTGTAATTGAAAAAAATTTGAGTAAATGAGAATATTCAAAATGGGTTAGGATCGCAGGTCGTGCTTGACCCATGATGAGCCCGACAGGCTATGGGCTAGTCGGCTCCTTGGACCTAGATCTTAGGCCCACATTGCTTATGTCTTACAAATCGTGTCGTGCCGTGCTTTATTTAAGTGGGGTAGTGTATTCGTTCCGATCCTTCCATTTAACACCTTTAATGTGTGTTTTGATTTATCCATAACTAATAAATACATAAGTAATCTCTAATTAAAATATAATTTTTCATTTCCTATTACGAATTAGTAAACAAGGCGAAAAATGTTTGAAATATTAACCAAAAACCCAAGCCTACGGAGATATAAAAGTCATTTTGTCACGTACCCCTCTTGGCTTTTGCCTTCGTGCCAAAACAGCCGGTTTACAACCAGAGTTTGCGTTTCGGCTCCTTCCTGTTTGGTTAGAGAGAAAAGAAAGGAAAATCAAAAGATGCGAAAGTTCGATCCATGGCCGGTGTTCTTCAAGCGCGAGTGGAAACGGAACTGGCCGTTCCTGGTCGGTTTCGCCATCACCGGCACGTTCATCACCAAGTTCTCTCTCGGTCTCACCGGTACTCCATCTGACCCTTTCTATATCTATCTGTGAACATATACGCATATATAGATATAAAGATATATATATATATATGTATTTGCATATGTAAATGCATTTCAGTAAGCTAGATTTTGTTTGGACTGATTTGGGGCTGCACAAATTTTGCAGAGGAGGACGCGAAGAATTCTCCGTTCGTGCAGAGGCATAAGAAGAAGTACGCATCTGAAACCCTAATATCTTGAAAAATTTCTCCCTAACTTAAGTTTAGTTTAATTAATTTCTCAATCATTCATTGATCCAAAATCTGATAATCCCTGCTAGTTAATTTGTTATTTGTTTTTTCACTGATTTTCTCACCTGCTTGTATGTAATGTGGATTTGAGAAGAAATGTGATTATTTAGTAATTGAGGTTGAATTTATCAACGACAATGGTTCGGTCAGCATTGATATTTCGTGGTTTTGGGCAATGTTTGGAAATTGAATTAAGTTTTTTGTTGTTCAATGAGTCATCCATGTTCACTTTAGCACAATGGATGAATGAATTGGGGACTGCTATTATACGAATCAAACGAAACTTATGAGTATATCAGGTCAGTATTTTTTCTTTTGTGAGTCTGCCCTTAGCAATGATTCATCAGCACAAAGTAAGGCGAGATGATGTATAAATTTGCTTGAGGTATATAATTAGTAGTGCTTGATTTCTATAAATGGTTTCCTTTTGAGTTGGTCAATCAGTTCATAGTTGTAATATCTTTCCGATTTCTCGTAGATAAATGTATAGATTTCATGATAGCAAAAGGAAGAAATCCAGATTCGTTTACTAGAATAAGGTTAGCTATCTGTTTACTCCCACACTATTGTCTTTGTTGTGTGTTTGATAGTGGGTTGAGATAATGAGTCGTAGTAGATAGTTGCGTTGAAGACTAATGTATTGGATTACTTTCGAACAATAAATATAGAGTGTTTCTTCTGCAAGTCAGCAATGTGAGGCACCCCTCATTGTTGTTGATTGCATTGACTTACCAATAGCCCGCAGTGATCTGCAATGTCTTTCACGAACCACGTGTTTTGTTAAAAAAATTATCATCTCATTTGTCACCGCCTTCAAACAGTATATTTGTGGCCAATAAACTGCACAGATATGAGCTAGCTTGAGTGTGCACACTTGAGTTGAACAAATCGGCTAAGCAAGATCGCCTACGTGCTATTGTTTTTGCATTCGATTGATATTTATTTGTAGGGTTTTGTTGATCTGTATGTGATTGCCAACAAAAGCTAGTTACTAATATTGTGCCTGTATTTGTTGTGCTTTCAGGTGACTGAGCCGGGCACCCAATGTAGATCAGCACTTCAGTCGGCCAGACGACGAAAGGCGTTTAATAACTATTTTATCTTGGTTCTTTTCAACCTAGCACGGTTCATGATGATGTACACATAAGTTATTAGAACAAGTCGTTATGCTACATTTGCTCTACAAGAAATCCCTGGGTGATTTGCTCTAGTTTGTTAAATGCACGCTGCTTTTCGAAGGGGAAATTCAGCCTTTACGCCTTAATTACCTCAATTGTGTGTCCGATGTCTTGCTTGATTTTGGTTAACATGGTATGGTTTTGCTAATCACGTTTAGCCAATCCTTCGGATCAAATTGTGTCAGTTGGCCAAAATAGAGTGCATATTTCTTACATCCAAGTCTGTATATCATTGTTACGAGAGGTCTTCAATGATTCGAATTGTTTATTTTTCAACTTGTACCTCATAAACCATCTTTGCAAAATGTTAGTCAAATTGAAAATATGTGAGATATCTAATTGAGTTCAAAGAAATTAACGAACAGTTTGTTCTATAAAAAATAATGAAATTTTATTGTGATAATAAATAGTAAATAGTTTTGGATTGAATTGAATATTTGCAAAGATGATTTATGAATTGAGACTTACAAAATAAACGTTCAGATCATTGAAGTTCGATGTGGAGTGAGTCTCAAAACAAAATTTGTACGGAGTAATTTTGTAAAGTGAATTAACAAGTTGTCATTGAACGATTACAAACTTTAAGTGGGTCACAATTGCAATTTACCTGGAAATTAGTACTGCAACAACTATTTTGCCTTCTTTCTTTTCCGTTCTACGATTTTACCACCAAGTGAAGCAAATTAATCTGCTGAGATTAATATAGGAACTCATAATCGAGCATGATAGCCGTCTTAGCTCAGCTGGTAGAGCGCGTGGCTTTTAACCACGTGGTCGTGGGTTCGATTCCCACAGACGGCGTCTTCCTGGTTAATTAAAATTTTACTTATTTATCCATCATAATTTTATTTTTCTCTTTTTTTTTTAAATTTTTTTTTTTTCTCGGAAAATACTAAGTGATGAACTATGTCTGAATTCTGATTATCGCTGAGATTTTTGCTTCTCCAAAATTTATCGACCTCACCCGCAACTCCAAACCCATAAACTCCGACGATGAGCCGGGCCCACCTCACCTGACTAAACCAATCCCTCCCCGAAGCGCTTCTTCACATAAAAATGGCGGCGGCGGCAGCGGCGAGAATAAACCTCTTCTTAAACCCCACAAACCCCCTCAATTCCAAAGCCACCGCCCATTTCAGAACCCACCTCCGCTTCCAAAGAAGAAGAACCAAAGCTACGTCTTTCTGCACCCGCGCCTCCGCAGCTCCCCGCCACGACGATGCATCCGGCGCCGGTGGCAGTGACCCTTTTGTTCTCACCACTCCGCTGTATTACGTGAACGCCCCTCCCCATTTGGGCAGCGCTTACACAACCATCGCCGCCGACGCCATTGCTCGCTTCAAGAGGCTGTTGGGTAAGAAAGTCATTTTCGTCACGGGCACTGACGAGCACGGTGAGAAGATTGCCGCTGCCGCCGCTGCTAATGCAGCCACCCCAGCTCAACACTGTGACCTCATTTCACAATCTTACATTTCGCTCTGGAAACAGGTCATTTTATATGCCCTCCATTGGAAATTTACTGCTTTGTTGGATTGGCGTTCAAATTACTGTTCTTTTTTCTTTTTGTAATTGCAGTTAAAAATTTAGTAATTTTGTTGAATTGGTGTTCATATTACTGTGCTTTTTCACTTTTTGATTCCGGGTTTTTGTGGTGATTGCAGTTAGATATCTCGTATGACAAGTTCATTCGGACTACTGACCCCAAGCATGAGGCAATTGTCAAGGAATTTTACTCCAGAGTTCTTGCCAATGGAGACATTTACAGGGCTGACTACGAGGGACTTTACTGTGTTAACTGTGAAGAGTATAAGGTGCCTTTCTGTATCTGATTTCGATTTGCCTTTCTGTATAAGGTGCCTTGCTTCTGTTTAGATGGCATTTTTTATTACATGTGTTTATGACAAAATGAAGTTGTGCGTCCATGTGCTAATTTGAAGAAGTTGGCGCAATTGCTCGAAGAATAAAAATTTGGCCATTTGAATACATTGTCTGCGTATCTACTGAGCTCTTTTCTCTGGAGTAGCTTCTGTTGTGTCTTTAGTTAGTGGTCTGATATCGTTAGTTGTAAATGTTGCACAGGATGAGAAAGAACTGCTTGAGAACAACTGTTGCCCTACGCACCTAAAGCCATGTGATGCACGAAAAGAGGATAATTACTTTTTTGCATTGTCCAAGTATCAAAAATCGTTGGAAGAAACATTGGCAACAAATCCGGAATTTGTACAGCCTCCATTCCGTCTTAATGAGGTTAGAAACAAAGTACATTGGTTTTACTTGATTTTGTTATTTTCTTTAGATATGAAAATGCAAATGTAATTCAAATACCCACCATACAAGCCATTTGAGACGTCTTCTGCCTGCCGTGCCAATTACTATTTCTTTATTTGTTTGTCACAATCCATCCTGCGAGTGCATATACAGTTATATTAGACTAATAGTTATTAGGGAGTGTGAAAAACTTAAATTGGGGTGCTGATAACGGTACTCATATAATTTTATAAGTAACTAATACATGTTTTACCTTTTCCTCAAGGTTCAAGGTTGGGTTAAAAGTGGCCTAAGAGACTTTTCCATTTCTCGAGCATTAGTGGATTGGGGCATCCCCGTTCCTAATGACAGCAAGCAGACAATATATGTTTGGTTTGATGCTCTACTGGGGTAAAGTTCTTTCTTCATCCTGTCCCCCTTCCCTTGTATGGCTCATAGTCACGGTATTTGTTAGGCTATGAGTACTCCTTTAGTGTAGTCTGTTTTTATTTTGTCATATAAATCCAAATATATGGCTAACATGGATTGATAACTAAGTTCTCAGACAATTGTTTGTTTCTTAGTAAACAGAAGATTAGTACTAAACCTGTTTTATCTTGTCACTAGATGTTTCTTTAGAATCTTTACTTCTGGTTTCTGTATTGTTTTTTTGTGAATGCTCACTAGACTATTTTTATTGGATATATACGTTTCAAAATTTTTAACAGTTATATATCAGCACTATCAGAGGATATGGAGCAACCCAATTTGGAAAGAGCCGTCTCATCAGGGTGGCCTGCCTCGCTACACGTGATTGGCAAGGTATGTTGAACTTGTTTGTTCACCTGTATGCTCCTTTTAATCAGCTAGTCTAATTAGTTTTATATCATTTGGTTGAACTTATGAGTCTCAAACTTCCAAATGTTTGCATGAAGTGATACTATCTGTTCACTTTTAAACCCAACTAAGTGTTCCCGGACAGAGGAGGAGATAATCTAGGATGGTACTCAAAATAAATATGCTTATTTTACATTCCCTCGCTGCTCAAATTTTTGACTACTTCATGTTCTTTCGATTGACTGTTGTCAAAGGCACTAAAAGAAGTGTTTTATTCTTATTTCTGACTTTCATATAGTGGATTCTTTATTATAGTTGATATTTCGTATTCTTCTGCAGGATATTTTACGTTTCCATGCAGTTTACTGGCCAGCTATGCTCATGTCTGCGGGACTAGGTCTTCCTAAGATGGTATTTGGTCATGGATTCTTGACAAAGGTATTTGAGCCTAGTATATATTTATGGTTTCTTCTAAAACTAGATATACTTGTATTGGTATTGGAATCCTCGTTGAATTCTTAGCCCTGTATTCTTTGAGTAATGATCACGTCAACTGGAGATTTAAAGCCTAGCACACACCAAGTTTCTGAAACATGTGATCAAATTCCTTTTCTTTAAATCTATTCTCAAGCACACAACTGGTGTCATACATGTCTCTGTGACACATTGGTCTTCTGTGTCCAATATGGGAGATTCCATAGGAACAATCTAATGCTCTTGCAAGAAATTTATAGCAGTTAGACAGAAAGAGGATAATTGGGCTTTTTGTAATATGGGTGTCATTTGTATGCTAGAATTACAAAACTTGTAGTAATCCAAATTGTTTGTCATGGATTTTTTCAGGTCTCTTGATTATATCTTGTTAATCTTAGCAACATGCACCGAATTGACTCGTGAATTCTGCATTTAAAAGCATAATTACAGTGTACTACATACAAGTTAAAACGATGACTGTAATGAATGCTAGTCCATTTTGAATTTTCATCTCATATATGTAATTTTATTTCATGCAGCAATGTTTTTTATTTTTTAAATTATAGGATGGTATGAAAATGGGGAAGTCGCTAGGGAATACGATTGAACCAAATGATTTGGTTCAGAAATTTGGGTCTGATGCGGTGAGGTACTTCTTCCTAAGAGAGGTGGAGTTCGGAAATGATGGGGACTATTCAGAAGAACGTTTCATCAATATTGTCAATGCTCATCTTGCAAATTCAATTGGTATCTCTATTCATCGTGTCATTAAATTCTCTTTGGGTTAGTCATTGGTATCGTCTTAGCATTTTTCAAATCTTAAGAAATTAAGTTTCCATTCTTTGCAGGAAACCTGCTTAACCGTACTCTGGGACTTCTTAAGAAAAACTGCCAATCAACATTGGCAGTTGATTCAAGTATTGCAGTTGAAGGAACTACGTTCAAGGACACAGTGGAGAAATTGGTAAAAGTTTCATGACATTTCCAATACCATCATGTTTTTGAAGCATGTCAAATTAGGGGAATCACTTTATTCGAGGTGCTTTAGGTTTGCAAGTCATTTAAACCATTTTGACATTGCGATTTGTTTGTATGGAATTAGGACATCATTATCCTTTATTTAACTGCTTGATACCTTTTAACCTAGGCGTCCCAACTTTTCCATACTTTTATAGGTTGAAAAAGCTCGGGTTCATTACGGAGACCTCTCTCTGTCATCAGCTTGTGAGGCTGTGCTAGAGATCAGCCATACTGGAAATTTATACATGGATGAGCGTGCACCATGGTCACTCTTTAAGCAAGGGGGTGCTGCTTCTGAAGCTGCCGCGAAGGTTCGCATAACAAACATAAATGCATAGGGTTGTCTGTCTTATTTAGCGTTTGCATATTTCCTTCAACAAGGAGATCAATTCTTGACTCTCGATTCTACACTGCTAGTCTAATCATACATATCAGCTGAACTCAAGTACTCTAATCAATATGCACGTCGATTCAAAGTTTAACTTTGTAGTTGATGGCCAATACATATTGCCTTTTA